ACACAGGTCCGTCCAGTTGCTGGGGTTGTCTACTGCACTTAAGGTGGGGTGACCACAGGTCTCTTTCATCACCCCCGTGCCTCTGAGCTACACCCCCAGCCCACCATGAGTCTTAAAATGTCCCTAAGGGACCCAAACGTGAAGGCAGAGCTGGGAGTGCCTGCCTTCAGTGTCCCCCTCCTCTCTCAGCCCCGCTGACCCCATTCCAGTCCTTCCCAGGGCTCCCTGGACCTGCCATCCCGCCTGATCAGGAAGGAGAAGCCAACAGACCCGGGGCGGCTGGGGGGACCAGGGAGGGCAGACAGGACACATTCTGGAAGCTTCCAGGAGGAGGTGGCCTGCGCCTCGTCCTGCAGGTGAGCGCTCCCAGGGACGTCCCCGTCCCAGGGTCCCCCTGGCGGTCTCCAGGGGCTTCCCTCCAAGCACCAGGGACAGCCCGGGGGGTTCCGGCTTCTGTTCCAGGCCCGGTCTGACCCCGACAGACGTGGGTGGCATGCAGGGACTCTCGAGTCCCCGTCCTCGGGGACCCGGCCGCTTCCCCTCTTTGAAGCTCATGGTCCCCAGGCCGCAGGACTCAACTCTGATTCTGTCCCCACTGCTCCCGGGACCCACCAAGGCCCGGGTGTCGGCAGCCACGGCCGAGGGGACGGGCCACCTCTGAGCTCTCTCCACCCACCAGGGTCCGGAGACTTTGTGGTCATGCCTTGGGGGGTGCCGGCACTGGGGGAGGGGGAGCTCCTGGTACAGGGGGGAGGGGGCCAGGGAAGCTGCCCAACCCCCTCTCCTGCAGGGGACACCCCAGCCGGCAGGGGACCGTCCAGCCCAGTGTTGGGGTGCTGGCCCAAGAAGCCTCTGCACCCCATGCTGGGTCTCCCCCGAATCTGGCCAATTTCTGTCGGGGGACTTTGTGACGTGAGACCCCATGTCACACGCGCAGATCTAAACTGCATTATTCCCAACCGTGAGGAAACCCAGAAGCCACCGTGGGCAGCTCAGGACGCCGCGTGTGTCCACACAGTGGGACATCGAGCTGCTTTATAAAATGAGGTGACTCTGTCCGGGTGGGTGGCGCTCATCTGTAATCCCAGTGACTCAGGAGTCTGGGGCAGGAGGATCGCAAGTTTGAGGCCAGCCTCGGCCACCCGGGAAGACCGTGTCTCCGATAGAGAATAAAAAGGGCCGGGGAGTAGGTGGGCGCAGAGCGCTGGTCTGGCATGTGCAAAGCCCAGTGCCACCAAAAGAAAAAGAAAGTGAGGTGCCTCTCGCCAGAGGTGGTTTTGCTCCATGCGAGGTGGCCTGGGCTGCTGTGACCAGGGACAGGTTTGCTCCTGGCATCGGGTGGGTTGAGGCCAGGGTGCTACTGGACGCCCTGCAGAGCCCAGGACGTCCCCACCACGGAGAGTGGTCCACCCCGAAGGGCAGCAGAGCTGAACTAAGGCACCGCCTTCCCAGGTGGCCTCTCTGAAGAGATGGCATTTGAGCCAGGATCTGGACGGGCCACCCTGGGCAGTGTTCTGAGGCCTGGACTCGGCAGCTCAGTGGACACAGCATTCCAGGTGACCCGGTGCCTTTGAGGAATAGTGAGGGGACGGCTGGGGCCAGGGAAGGGAGAGGCCGGAGGCCATGTCCAGGGGCCCGACCCTGAGACGGACACAATCCAGCCATGTTCAGAAGGCCTCTGTGGCAGGCAGCCGCCGTTACTGTGATCAATTACCTGAGGCCATCAGCTTATAAAGAGAAAAGGTTCATGTGCCTCACAGTTTAAGGGGTTCCAATCCGTGGCCCCTGGCCCTGTGGCTCTGGCCTGTGGTGAGGCAGCAGGAGCAGGTGGTGACGCGGAGCCACAGCTCACCACGTCAGGGGAGCAGAGAGGACAGGAGGGGCTGGGTCCCCACTGTCCCCTTCAAGGACTCGTCCCCAAGGACTGAAAGCCTCCCACTAGGTCCCACCCCTGGACGGTCCCACCTCCCAGCAGCTGGGGACCAAGCCTTGAGCGCGTGGGCCTTTGAGGGACACTCAGGCTCCAAGCTGGAGCCGTCTCTGGGGGTAGAATGGGGGCAGTCGAAGCCGGAGGCTGGGGTCGGCCTCCCCGGGCAGGACAGAGGGAGCCCAGCCAGGCCCACGGCTCAGGGGGACCAGGACTCCCGGCAGCGCCCGCGGCGCCTCCCGCAGAGGACCAGACGGTGAGGACGAGCGGCCTGTGCGCCCCAGGAGCTCCCTGCAGCCTCCGGCCTCCCGGCCTCTCGGCCTCTCGGCTGTGCCTCCGGAGCCCAGGGCAGCCGTAGCCAAGAGCGCACAGTGGCCTCGTGTCGATGAAACTGTATGAAATCAGAATCTCAGGGACACTTCACACGTGACAAAAGATCGTTCTCCCTCTAATAGTTTTCATCTATTAAAAATGTAAAAGCCACCGTCCTGGTGGGTGGTGGCTGGGGTGGGCTTTCTGTTGGGGCAACAAAAATGTTCCAGAACCCTCCGTGGCAGCGGGAGCGCAGGGCAGACAGACGGACGTCACCGTGCGCTTAAGCGAGCGAAGGTGTCACACTGTCCCTCAGGAGAGCTGCTGAGAAGCCGCCATACAGGTGCTCGCTGCCCTCCTCCCGCGACCTCCCTGAGCGAAGGAGAGGTTATCTTCGTCACCGTGAGCGTCACCTGCCACCTGGAAGTGTGACCCGGCAGGACAGCCATTGGTGTTTTCTGTGCCTGGTGGAGGAGGAGGAGGAGGCTGGCCTCTGTGGAGGCTCCCTCCAGCCTCTTCCCTTCTCCTGGGGATGGATGCTGATGTGTCCCTCCGGGAAGCAGCGGGGACCCTGGGAACTGGGGACGGGTCCCCACCTGGCTCCCCACGGACCAGCCTGGGGCCACCAAGGGAGAACCCTCGGGGCTGCTGCCCACATCCGATGACAGCCCCAGGGTTCCCTCGGCAGGGCCCTGTCCCCCGTAGGAGATGGGGAAACTGAGGCTGGGGGGGAGGACCTGTCCCCAGTCCCTGGTTCAAGATGACGGGGCCAAACCCAGCCGGGCCCCGCTTCTGTGCCAAGGACAGGGGACCCTCAGGCCCCCTTCTTGGGCCCCGTCTCTCCGATTGCTGCTGTGGCCCCTCCTTGGGGTCACCCGTTTCCGAGTCTCCTTTGTGCCTCGGAGGGGATCTTGTCCACTCCCCAAAGACGTCCACCTGCGTTCCCCCTGGGGACAGCCCTGCACCCCAGGGGACATTTGGCCACGTCATTTGGCTGGCCTCCATGATTTGGGGGAGTGTCTGGCCCAAGGCCCCGTCACCCTCCGCGGAAGGTGCTCCCTGGGTGGGTCCCACGCAGTCCTGCCAGGAGGCAGTGACGGTCCCCGGGCTGGGACTCTGGGCCCGGGTAGGTCAGGGCCTCGGGCGTCCCTCCGCGGTCCTGGGGACCATGAGGGCGTCAGAGCGGAGGGGACCGGGGGCTCCCTGTGGGGAGAGAGAACTCTGACCCTCGGGGGACACGAGGGGGACCCTGGAGGACGGTGCTGGCAGGAGGGACCCCTCCCATTGCCAGGGCTGGGGGAGGGGAGGACCAGGGTCTCGTCCTGGGGTGGAACTGGGGTGCGTCACCTGGAACCTGGGAAATGCCGTCACCTTGGTCTGGGTCACACTCAGGAACACAGAGAGGCTTTCCTTCCCCCCAAAATCCCGCCCCGAGACACATCCTGGGTCCTTCTTGGGGAGGGGACCCCCCTCCTTCCACCTGGGGACGGACCTGGCGCGGGTCCAGCCTGGGAGACGGGCGGGTGTCCTGGGTCCTGGGCCCGCGGCTGTGACGGGCCCCTTCAGGGCTGGAGGGACCCGGCTCTGCCCGAGCCGCTCCGTCCCGGCTGTTGTTCTCGGCCTCCGGCCTCCGGCCTCGGCGGCAGGAAGCGGGCCCAGCAGGGCTTCCTGCGGCCGCCGGTTAAAAATACCCCGCTATATAAAGGGGCCAGGCTGCCCCACTCGCAGGCCGCTGCCCGCCGGCCGAGCAGGTGGCTGGGCGTGAGGAAGGCCCGGCCTCCGCCCCGGGCCTCCGGGGGGCCAGGGCGGCCGCCAAGTTCCGTCTCGCGTCCAGAGCCCAGATCAGGGACACCGGCCGCTGTTTCTGTTTGAAATCACTTTTCTCCACCCAAGAGGCCGCTGTCGGGGAACAGGGGAACCGGCCACGCAGGTGGGGCTGTGACCTCCACCCTGTGGGCAGTAGCCGTCGCCCCTCTCCACCCCGGGGCCTTTCTTCCCCAGGCAAGGCCCCCCAGCACCCGTGGGTGACAACAGACATCCAGTGTAGTCTTCCTCCTCGTTCCCGAGGCGCGGTCTGGCTGGGCTGCCCGGGCTGGCCTTGAACCTGTGGGTCCAGGGATCCTCCTGCCTCAGCCTCCCCAGTACCGCCGTGTCGTTTAGGGGACACACGGCACCGTGAAACCCAGGAGCATCTGAAAACGTCCCATTTAACAGGCTCCAGAGACAGCCCACTTCACAGCTGCGGCAAGTGAGGCCCAGGGTCACCTGCTGTCACAGTGACCCGGTGACCAAGTTGCCCGGGGAGGCTTTCCCACCTGCTCTAAGTGTCCATCTCACCCTGCCCTGTCCCCGAGTCCAAGTCACCCGAGGTCTGGAGGAGGGTCTCCCAGTCTGTGAAGCCCCCCTTCTCCCGCGCTGACCCGGGGGACTGTGGAAGTCGGGAGGTGTGGCTGGCGGCCGAGGTCCATCCTCTGAGCAGGGAGATGGCTGATGTCCCAGGAGGGCTTCCCTGGCCATCGGACGGCCACCCCAACACATGGGGAAAGCACAGACACGGGGTGTGGCGGCAGGTGCCCGTCATCCAGCTCCTCGGGAGGCCCAGGCAGGAGGATTGGCTGCGTCCAGGGCTTGAGGCCGGCCGGGGCCACACAGCAAGAGCCCGGGGGTCCACCAGCCAGGACCCTGCGTTGAGGTCAGTGCCAGGGCCGGGGCTTCTCGTCCAGGGCTGAGCCATTGACCAGGGGAACAAAAGACGACAGCGATGACCACATGGAGAGGGACGTTGGCGTCACCTGCCAGACCCCACACCTACAGGAAGGCGAGGCCAGCTCTAGGCCCCTGCGGCTGGTCAGGACGAAGACCCGATGACACAGACGCCGTCCTGGAGCCACCAACGGGCACGAGGGAACGGACCCCGGGGTGGCCGCCATCTCCAGGAGGAAGGGACATCGACCTTGAGCACTGTCCCTCAGAGGAAGCGCCCGTCCCCGTGGGGTCCCTGGTGAATTTCCCTGAAGCCTTTGGGGCACCCCCAGCTCTGAACGGGCACTTTGTGGAGTCGCCCCCCAAGGCCTCTGACCCGGGGCTGCCCACGGCCACCCTGACGCCGCTCTGGGGGCGGCGGGGACCCCGACAGGGTCTCGCTCTCCTCCGAGGGGGCCGCGTCCTGCCGCCAGGCCTGGCCCCACCTGGGCCAGAAGATGAAAGGCAGAAACCCGACCTGCGGCCCGCTCCTGAAGGACGCCTTTGTGCCCCGCCTGCAGCCGCCATCACACGGTCCCCGGCCGCGGCCTGCGGACCGGCTGCCTGGGCTCTGAGGCCCCTTTCAGAAGCGCCCGGGTCCCCACCGACTCTGCCGTGGGGCTCTTTTTAACTGGCCAAAGGGGGCTTGCTTGGGGCTGGGGGGACACAGGGAGAGTGGACAGGGCAGGCTGCCGGGGGCTCTGCGTGGAGCAGTGTCCACAGCGCTGGGCAACGGGGAGGGAGGTGGAAGGGGTCCATCTTGGCCCTCAGTTTCCTCCTCCATCCAAGGCTCTGCCTTCACAGTATCAGAGGCCAATCCCAGGAGCCAGCGTGGAGGGCCGGCTCTCTGCGTCTCCACCTCTGCTTCTGACCCTGGCCTCTCCAGCCCCTGGGTCTCCACCGGGCCGGACACGAGGCCCCGTGAAGTTGTCACCAGCCCAGCAGGGTGGCCCTGCGGCCCAGGACCGGCTCCTCAGGCTGTTTGAACTCCCTTCCTGGGCCCTGCTGGGCTCCTGATGCGGGGTCCCTGCCCGGGTGGCCCGACCCCAGCCGCTGCCCACTTGAACTTCTGGGGAGCTGCCCTGGGCCCCCAGGGACAGTGGACAGGGCAGGCTGGTGGGGGGCTCTGCATGGAGACCCCCCAAGCAGGGGTCGCAAGTGACTCTCCAGGGCAGCCCCCACCTGTGACCCCAGTGTCCCTGCCTGTGGATGGCTGTCCCCTAGAAGGGCCTCTGTGAGGGGGACCCACACGGGGGTCTCAGTCCCCACCTCTGTAAGACGCACGAGCGGCGGGTCCTTCACGGCAAGACGCGGATCTGACACAGGACACACACCCAGTGCCTCCTGCAGCCACCATGTCCCCAAAGAGGGTCCCCGCTCCCTAGTGGCTGCCCGGCTTATTTCTGAGTTCTGCCGTCTTGGCCCCGACAGGCCCGCAGCTTTAGCACGCTCACCAGGCTGTGCACCAGGGTCCAATTCCAGAACATTCCGTCACCCCAAAAGGAAGGCCTGACCCCCTGAGCAGCCCGCCCACACCCCTGCCCCAGCCCCTGGCCATCTACTTCCTGCCTCTGTAGTTATCCGTTCTGATATTTTTCTATCGATGGAATCGTACCCCATGTGGCCTGCAGCAGCTGGCTATGACACTCAGCATCCTGTTTCTGAGGTGCAACCACGTTGTAGCCTGTGTCCTTTTAGTGGGTGTGTAATATTCCCATGTGGGTATGGGCCTCTGGGCTTCCTCCTCCTGTTAGCTGTGCCGCTGTGAACTTTTTTTTTTTTTAAGAGAGAGAGAGAGTGTTATTATTTATTTTTTAGTTTTTGGCAGACACAACATCTTTGTTTGTATGTGGTGCTGAGGTGGTAGCGCACTCACGCGTGCCAGGTGAGTGCGCTACCACTTGAGCCACATCCCAGCCGCCTGCTGTGAACTTTTTGGGTGCGGGTCTGGATAAACACAGACTCCCAGTGTTTCTTTGGACAGCTACACTGTCAGCTTTCTGTTACTATAACAAATGGGTGAGATAGTTAACTTATAAAGAGAAAAGGTGCATCTGGCTCTCCGTTTTGGAGACTTCAGTCCTCGACCAGGTGGGCCTCGTGGTTGGGGCCTGTGGTGAGGCGGGACATCGTGGCGGGAACTTGTGGACAAGCTGCTTACCTCAGGGCCAGGGAGGCCAGAGAGCAGAGGCTGGAGCCTCACTGTCCCCTTTAAGGACATGCCCCAGTGACCTGAGGACCTCCCACAAGGCCCCATCGTTAAAGGTCCCACCCCCCAGCAGCACCAAGCTCGGGGACAACCTTCAACACAGACCTCTGTGGACACTGATCCGAACCCACCAAGAGGCCAAGGCCCCCGGAGCTCTTTGAGCTTCACCGACCCAAGGGTGGGGCTGCCGGCCGGGTACAGGGGCGTCACCTGTCATCCCAGGGCCCGGGAGGCTGGGGCAGGAGGATCTCGAGTCCAAAGCCAGCCTCCGCCACTGAGTGAGGCCCTGAGCCACTCAGCGAGACCCTGTCTCCAAAGACAAACCCAGAGGGTGGTCGTGGCCCCAAGAGAGCGCGGGGCCACGTGGCCGCGGCGGTGGCTCTGACTCCCAGCTGTTTCCGGGCAGGATTGAGCCTGAGTCTCCGCAGCACTTTCCCACGGGGCCTCCGCCAGGAACCGCCTCCTTCTGCGCCAGCGCCACGGCCCCCACCTCCCCACCCCACCTCTGCCTCGGTGACAAACGAAGCAGGAGACACGGAAAGCACCCACCCCCAGCAGTGGCCTGGCCCTGCAGACCAAGAACGGTCACCCCTGGTCACCCCTGGACACCAAGGCTTACAGTGTCCCCTTCAGTGGGTAGGACACGGGGCACCTAGAGAAACCTGGATGTCAGCTACACAGTGGAGACCGGGCAGCGTGAGCACACCCCTCCAGGCTCTCTCTGGGGTATACTCACACTAAACATTCATCGTTGTTTATCCAAAATTGGAATTCAACTGGGAACTCTGCATTACACGGGTTGAGTGTGACAACTGGCTTTGGGACTGCTGGTCTGCACACCGGGGAGAGATGAAAGGCAATTCCGGTTATTTCAGGACCCAAGTGACCCCGCCCGCTGAGGCAGAACCCTCACAGAGACGTGATCCACCAAGACCATGTTTCCAGGTTCCTCGAAAAATCAAGAACATAACTACCCTCTAACCTGGCAACCCCACTCCTGGGAACGGAGCCAGGGAAGTGAAATCAGTGTGTCAGGGGACAGCCCGAGTCCCAGGCTTAGGACAGCACTAGTCACAAGAGCCACGATTCGTGGAACCCACCTAGGGTCCACAGATGGAGGGACGGGGACAGAATTGTGGCACAGACACACCTGGAATAGTATCCAGCTGTGAAGAAGGATGGGATCTGCCTTTGCAGCGTAGACGAACCTGGAGGACATTGTGTTAAGTGAAATAAGCCACACAGCAAGTTCTGGCTCATCCGCGGGATCCAGAAAGTGTCGGTGGGGGAGAACGGCGGTCAGCTAGGAAGAGGGGAGTGGGTGACAAGTCGTTCATCAGAAGACACATGATTACAGTGAGACACCAACCCATCCCGAGAGACCCCTCGGACCGCGGGTGACTCTAGTTAAAGGTGACATATTGATGCTTGAAAAATACAAATGGAGGAGTGTAGATTCTCATCACAAAAATAACTATTTGAGGAAAGGCGTTTGTCAGCCAGCTGGACTTCACCGTGACACCACGAATACGGCCATCAAAACAGGTGACCCAGAGCCGGCCCACCGGAACACCACGTCGTCTGTCAGTATTTTAAACACGTTTTGTTTTGAGGCTGGTCTCTGACTCCAGGGCTTACTGATCCTCCTGCCTCAGCCTCCCGAGTAGCTGGGGCTACAGGTGTGCCCCACCAGGCTTGGCTTAATGACCCTTTATCACTCTATTTTAAATAAAGAAAAAGTCTCCAGTTCTCTCCCTGGGTTCTGGTGACAGAAAGGTCTGGTGACAAAGAATTTGATCAGAGCCTGGGAAATCTTTGAAGGTTCATATGATCGGATGACAAACGATCTAAATCCGTCCCCAACCCCAGGCCGCCGGAAAGCCAGTGAGCACAGGGGTGGCCAAAAGCCCAGGCCCCGTGAAAAGACTGCCCGGTGGCCCTGCCTCCCGGTGGCCCTGCCTCCCGGTGGCCCTGCCTCCCGGGCCCAGGCTGATTCAGCTTCCTCACATTCAAGCCGAGTCCTGAGCCCGGATGCGCCCCTCAGGGCCACTTGGCTTCTTCCCAGACCCGGCTCAGGGCGAAACGCGGACCTGGGAGGCGTCTGGCAGCACCAGCCAGGCCACCACAGCTGTCCCCAGCGTCCACCCTGGGACACCTCCTCCAGGGCCCAGAGCCCCTCAGCCGCAGGTGACCAGAGCTGGCACCTGAGGAGCCTGTGGAAGAGCCCGTGTTTCTGTTAACTTCGGGGAAATGCCGGAAGCGTGGACTGTAGCTGGTCACCTCCAGTCCCCGTCACTCGGGAAGGACAGCCTGCCTGGGCAGCGGGGAGGGGACCGTTATTTTTATGATAAATAATGGCGGCTACTTGCAGTTTGGTTTGGGAGCCGGGGACCCCGGCGGCCCACACGGGGGAGAGTCCCAGGGGGTCACGGCTGGACCTCGACAAGGGGCCTGGGGCTCCGTGGGGGTGGGCCTGCCTGGGTTCCCGGCCACCAACACACGGGGACACACTCCTGCGGCAGAGACCCAGGACACAGGGTCGCGAGCAGGGCCTGGCACACAGTAGGTCTCCACCCCTCCCCCGACCAGGGGCCCCGCCGCCCACGGTGACCTGAGAATAAGGTCTCAAGAAAAACCCGGTGGTTAAGCTGGGGCCACCGAGACCGGTGACCGTGACTATTTTTAAGTGCCTGGGGGACACACGCCTGAGCGTGAGAAGAGAGGCCGTTTGTCCTCTGCCGCTGAGCCCCCTCCCGAGGGACAGGCCATGTGGTGGGCGGGGCGAGGGGCACGGCTGTCCGCCTGCCAGGAGCAGAGGCTCCTAAAATATTCCAGAACATTCCTTGTCAAGGCGTCACAGATCACACCACCAGGCGGGGAGTGGGAGGGGAGGTTCTGCAGGGGGCTGGGGTGACCACCTTCCACGGTGCTTTTCAGACCCCCTCGTGGACAGGTACTGCGTGTCCCCAGCACAAAGAATCGGTCACCCGAGGTGGGGGCGGGGCCAGCTGCCCATCGCACCATCACACTGTGGCCCTGCAGGAAAACGTCCATGCAGCCGGGGCGGGGGCGCACGCCTGCCATCCCAGCTCTCGGGAGGCCGAGGCAGGAGGATCTGGAGTTCAAGGCCAGCCTCAGCCACAGTGAGGCCCTAAGCGACTCAGGGAGACCCCGTCTCTAAATAAAATGCCAAATAGGGCTGGGGAGGGGGCTCAGTGGTTAGTGCCCCTGAGTTCAGTCCCCAGTGCCCCCCCCAAAAAAAAAGTCGCAATGCACCCCACGTATGCACAATCACAGTGCGTGTGTGTGTGTGTGTTGCTCACCTTGCACACACACACGTGCACGTATTTTTTAAGCAAAAATAGAGTGCCCCCCCCCCAGGCTGTTGTTTTCCGTTTCATTTTCCCTCTTCTTTTCCTTCC